ATTCTAGGAAATCAGCCCTTCCCTGAGAGCAGCTGAGCCCACTCCCAGTGGAGCAGATCCCAAAAGCAGGGGACCACAGCAAGGAGCTGGGATTCTGCAGTTCAAGAATGGGGACAGGAAGCCGTCAAGAGAAGCAGTGAGCAGAAACTGTGTCGTCGGTGGAAAGAACGCATGCTCTGGACTGTGATGGCAGCTGAGCTCAAGACAACATCGACAACATCTGTCCAGTAATTTTAAGGAATTCAGAGGCTCATCACCTGTCCCTGTAGTGTGGTCTGCTACTGCCCTATCTCAGAAAGGCAGCAAACAAATGGGTCACAAAAGCAAAGCCAAATAGCTGACCTGTAGGACATGTGCTGCTAACTCCTTTTAGCTCAGAAAGTAAGGGAAACATGCTTTCCAGAGAGACAGCAGAGTCTCCTTCATTGGAACTATGCAGGACTCAATTTGACAACACCCATAACAACCTGATCTAAGGCCCTGTTTCAAGAGGAGACTGGCTCAGGTGAGATCCCATCCGACCTGGATGTGTCCATGATACTGTCACTACACCTGTTCTTTCAAAGACGAGATCAGAAATGTCCAGGATCTGCAGTCCCAGTTCAGAAATGTTTTCAAGCACCTGTGCATCTTCAGCCATGCTCTTCCTTTCCAAGTAATACTGGCACACTTCAAATTAAATATAAACTTCAGAGTTTTTCTAGTTTGAGAGTGACATAGATAATTCCTGTCTCTGTTCAAACAGTGTCTGGATTTTTCCAAGCCTTTATCTATGAGTAGAACTTCTAGTCTCCTCTCTTTATGTCAGCTTCAGTTAATATTTGCAAAGCAACTGCAGATTCTTAAAAGATATCACTATATAGCAAACAGCAACCAGAACTTGGTCTGACACTTTTCCCCTTGTCATCATCAGCACAAAAAGCTTCATTTTTCTTCAAATGGCATGATTTTACATGAATGCTTGCAGTAAGTCCCCCCTCAAATAAATAATACACAAATATTTGCGTGATGAGTCAGAGTGATCATTTACAATCACATTTCCTTTAAAATTCTGAATCTGGGGATTGTGTTATTGTATCTTAGAGGAAAGGCAAAGAGAATTTTGCAAAAGAGTGATATGAGTGATACATAAGATGTGGAGAAGCACTTATTTAAACAGAACACCTGTATGAATATTTCATTCAATTGCTCAAGGGATTTTTTTTGTTTGTTTTTATTAAGAGAAATAACAGACTATATCACAAGCTGCTACCCCCCTCCCACCCAGGGCATCAGGCTGCCTGTTTCTCTGCTGTACAGCAATGAATTTGCTCATTGCAACACTGCATGTTCTGTCAACACAGGTTTTTTGCCTCTGCATTTGCCTGAAATAGTGCCATACTATGAAGTAAAAGTACATATTTGGAAAATTCTGATCTTTGTCCTGGTTGGAGCTTTGGAGACAGGTGGAGAGGACAAAGCAAAGAGGGCTTTATCAGGAGTTTGGAACAGCAAAAATACCTGGCAATCAGGTTGAGAATAAATATGAATGGAAAAGCAAACATGACTAGATCTGGGGCTCCATGAGAAAGCAGAAAAACTTCAGAGACAGAAGTAGAAGAGGCCCAAGGTGAAGCCTTCTAATGAAGCCTCACTTCCTCAAACACTAGCTGAACCCTCACCAATTCTATGACACATACCCAGTGGCACAAGCCGTGTCTGACTTCATTACTTATTTATTTTAAATACCTTAATAGCTGTCCAGTGTATACTGAAAATCAACCTTTTGGAAATCCTGCTTTGCAGAGGGATTTACAGCTTCACTACTTGTGCAGCATAAGTCTTTGCAATAAATAATTTATTTAAGTAATCCTTCCACAAAATTACATTCCAGAAATAATAACTAAAACTAGTTATTCAGAAACTATTTTAAACACCTGAATGAAATTTAACTGAAAAGAAGTCTATGGAACAAAAATTTTTTTCTGCTATTACTTGTGTCTTCAAGACAAAAAATCAGAAAAAAATAATGAAAAAGCTTTCTTATAAATATATTATATATTATCAGGTCACTCTTCCTAAAGTGTGTAGTTTACAGTTCACTTTAAAGATTTTAATGTTACATCTGTATAAACAATACAGCATGACTAGTATAGTATTAAATTTGTGTGATGAGGACTAATTTTACTGCGTGAAAAACAGAAATACACTTTCAGTTAAAATGTACTAAAATCAGTATCAATTATATTGAGAAATGCATCCAAAAACTTTTAGTAAGCAGTTCACAACAGCACTGCAAATTTAGTTTGCATTCCACTCTCTGCTCCCTCTCTCGTTACTTCTCAAAGGAAGAGAACTCAAGCCCCACAGAACTAAATTAAATTTACTTTTGGATGCTGAGAACTCAAAGCCAACAGAATGGCTTATAAGTTTGTACAGAGAGACTACTTCAATATACAGAAGGAAAATTCACTGTATTTCATTATGATTATTCATTATGCAATTAATGATGATTATGAAAATCATCAGGTCTATTACAACAATTAAAAAAACCAAAAAAATTTAATTGCTGAAGCAGAAGTTACTTTTAAATATTTATTTGAAGAAGATATAGGTAATTTTCCAGTCTTGAGATTCAATGATTCAATAAATATCTTGTCTAACTCTTAACAAATTCATAGTACCTGATTTCATAAGAAAATAAGCGTGTTCTTCAATTAAAATATATTGAAGCTACTTCTAGCATCATTCTAAAATCTTATTCAAATTCTGCGGAAGATGAGAGCTTCAATATTCAAATCAACAACAGGAGAAACTGGTTCTGCAAAGTCCAAATCTTTAATTATTCCTCAGGCTTTTCTAAGTTAAGTTCCTAAAAGTATTCCATTTCATAGATCATAATCTAGATTTCCTTAGAATAAAGTGCAAACTCTACCAAGCACAATAGCATTAGATCATATTGAAAACAACATTAGGGTTTCATGTCCAAATTTTCATCTGCTTTCATCACTATAACCCTGTCTTTAGGATGTAAGGGAATTAAACCAATCCATAGATTCACCAGTATCAGGCTAAATAATCACAATTGCAATTTTTAAAAAATCTGCTCCTAGTCTTTATATTTTTTCCAGTTTGTCATTTTTAAATAGTCATAAGTCTATGCATTTGGTAGCAGCTGATTTTTAGGTCATGTACTGACGAATGTTGAAGATGGATGCGGAAAGGGAACCCCAGGCAAAGGGCCTTTCCTTTTACCCCATGCTCCGGGGGGGAGGAGCGTGCCCTCCCCCTGGCCCCCCACCTCGTGGCGCCTCATGGCCCCCAGGGAGACCAGGACACCAGCAGCAAGTAGGGAGAGCAGGCAGAGAGAGTTTATTGTTTTGGGTAACTCCTTAAACAGCTCTTGGGGGAATTACAAAGTGACCAGTGGGAGTCCAGGAGGTCTTACAACCAACCAATGACAATAAGGGGTTAACAACCAATAGATGAGTTCCTAGTTATCTCTTAGACATTCCAAAGGTACAGGTAAGGGATCTTGGGAAGGAGAAAGGTTTACACAAAGAGTTACACCACCATTTTGGAAGCGTTCACTTTAACAACATTACAATTTCTACATCCTTTTATATACTGCAACAATGTACAAGCCTGTGATCTGACACACAGGGATAAACCAACTGCATCGACAGCACACTCTGGTTAACTCCATTGCAGCCAGGCCCAGCACACATGGAAAGCCATGCTCACCACGAACATGATTATGCAAAGTCACTATTAAAAGTAGAAAAAAAAACCCAAACCCAATTGAGTAGAAAGCTATTTTTCAAGGGTCAATAAAATGGAACAGTGTTACAGCGCAGGAAACGGGCTCACAGACAACAGAACAAAGGCCACTAGAATGAAGATGAAAAAATGGAGACCTAGAATAAGCTTATCCCAAACAAGACATGAAACCTATTTTCTTGAAGATGTTATTATGAGATAAACATGAAGGGGAAAACTGATTTGTATTTCTGTTTCACCCGTCCCAGGCATACACTGAAAACACCGTACATTACAGCAAGTTTGAAGAAATTCATCTCTTTCTCTCACCTAAATTATAAACTTTAAATGCAATTTACAGAGTTGGACACAGTTGCATTTACATGCGAAAGATCAAGTCAGAAAAATCTCCAAACTCTGCATTTAAAATAACAAAAATTAGAAACAAACCACTTTCAATTGTTTATGATAAATGAAATTGAAGATCATTGTAGATAATTTCCTTACTGTGAGGTGACGTAAAAGAGACTAACACATGAATAAACTTTCATTGAACTACCTCAAAACCTCAGTGTTACAAGAATAATAGAAGTCTTGTTTTGTATTAAATCAATCACCAGTACTCAACACAAAAGAGAAAAAAATACAACTTTTGAATACAGTAACCCTCTCTCATCTGTTTATATCTAGATATAAAACACTGTAGTCAAAGTAAAATTTAAGAATGACAAAGGTCCTGAGATTCAAAGCAGATTTAAAAAAAAACCAAATAAATACAAAACTCCAACAATGCCCCCCAATCACAACAACAAAAATAAACCCAACCAAGCAAACACAAACACAAAACAATAACATGCAGCTTCTGATGTTCAATCCCAAACTGCATACATTTAAGTGAAGGAAACTACACTGCAAAATTGATTTTTAATTATTTAATCTCACATAAAGCCTTACTTTTTAATTACATTTGAAATTATTTGTATTATATTTGATTTTAAAACAATTATTCAAAGAAGCAGTCATTATTTTAGCTTGAAAAACATAAGTTGCTCTATGTAAGTTACAGAAAACTACCACTACTTTCCATGTGCAGATAAATGTCATGGTTCTTCAGAATTAAATAGTCAAAGATGTTATCATCACATCATCTCCAGAAATCAAATTACATTCATATTATACTCCAAGGAGGAAAAAATAAATCAAGGTAATTCTAGCAGAGCAAACCATTATTGTATTAGTGACAAAATGCCAAGAGGACTCACCTGTTCAATCTCCTTTGTCTTAGTTGCAATTGCTTTTGAGCGACCAAGAAGCTGGCCATCCTCATAGAGTTCTGTGGTATCTGTTATGTTGGCTTCTGTTTCCCCTGCTTGTTCGACATATAATGGAGCTGCAGATCCAGCCTTAAAAAAAACCACAAACAATAAATTCAGTTTTGAGAGCAAAATAAAAGCCTCAGTGTGAGGGAAAAAAAAATCCCAAATGCAGTCATCAGGTGGATATGGAGTTTGCTCATCAAGACTGTTAGTGAAGTATTATCGCTACAATCTTAACAAATACAGAAATAGGGATTTTAAACATGTAGAAAATATGACATCATAAAAACCTGTGACAGTCTTAACTGTGTAAAGGCAACGATGTCAGATAACCTTTACCTGCCCATCCAATGAGAAGAGATTTGTATATGTAATATTTGTAACACCAACTAGCAAGAAAAATTCACAATGAAAGTCTTATTAGTTTTCTGGGAAAGGATAAAAGTAACAAAATCAAAGGTAAATAGGCACCAACAAAATAAAAATGCTGTCAGAAAGAACTCTTGCAGCATTCAGGACCAGAAGTCTAATATTAAATGAAAAATGATACCTACCACATAGCAAAAGCAAACATGTGATTTCAGGATTTCTAACAACATGAAAAATTACACTAAAGTACTGAAATTGTATAAACTTCCCTCTAAAATAGAAATTAAGACAGTATCCCTATAGCAAAGAAAATAGACTCCAACTGCAAGGAGTTTGTAGAGAAGATGTAGTAATTTGCTTTTACAGCATGACTTTAAATCTGATATTATGGAACAAATTTGTAGAGTAGTAATACATTTTTTAAAAAATAGGGTTTGAAAATTGAAGAAGATGAATAAAACTACTTTCTATTATTCGAAAATAGAGGTGAAGAATCTTAAGACTTAACCAACATGAAAGAGAAAAGCATTAGACAGACAAAGATAGACAAAAGCTTAAGTGGTCCTGTTAGCACCTGCTCAAATCTTAGCAGCAAATACAGTAAATACTGAAATGCCTAAGAGTGAGTAAAGGCTACTAAAAAGTTCAGTGCAACACAAAGCTCAACTGTTAAGCACTATGTAAGATAAACTGCAAGAAGTTAAAAACTCTTGCAATTCATACATGACAGCCTACTAATCAAGGTGAGAGGTATCGTTTCTTCTACAACTCAGAATGAGATGCCTCACCTCCTTCATTAGCATTCCTATAGCCCACTTTATTAGTCAATAAATCATCTTAGACTCTGCCATAATCAACTGCAATTGCTTAATTTTGATTTTTTATTTTTAATCGTTTTGGCAGTGCAATTTTCTCTGAGGCACAGAGGAAGCTTTAAACAACTCTTCTCCATATGGCTCACTCTTCTTTCCTCCCTTGCATTACCTTTCCCTTGTGAAAAACAGAACTGATACTTCACTTTTACTCTCCTGAACCTCTCAGAAATGCCCATCCGTATGTTCTCCTCCATATGGCATTAATCTCTGGATCAGTTCTTGCTTTTTCCTTACTCCAACACTTCCTCCCCTTTTTTTTTTTCCCCACTTACTTTTTTCAGTTTATTTATCCAACTAGATCTTCCTGGACAGTACTGAGGAACTGTTCATGCATTCACCCATTGCATCAACAGAAAAGACTTAAAAGTTCACATAAATATGGATCCAGTGAGTTTATTTCTCTAACACGGCCCTTACATTCCACAAGCATGAAATACAGGAGGAAATGTGATGCTTCCTAAGATGCTTTAATTTTCCCTCAAATTATTTACAAAAAAATAATTAAAAAAATCAAGCCCGTTAATTGTAAAGTTTAAGACACATGACTTTGTAAAGTAGGTCCTATTTTGTTTTTTTAAAGAATGTCTCTAAAGTTTTAGAGACACTAAAACTGTCTCTGTTGAAGCCAAGTTGAAAGTCAAAGAGCAAATTACCACAGAATTAAAACAGATGATTTTACATTAAATGACTTCTAGGTTGGTTTAAATAATACATCTTCCACTAACATAACAGAATCCAAAAAAGACATCCTACCCAAGAGTTAGCATAATAAAACAATGACTGAGAAGGGCTCTAATCAAACTCCAATATAGCCAGCAGTAGAAGACAAGGAGGGGCAAGAACAGATGGGAATAAACTAGTGAATAATTAATATTATTAGTGAAATAAGGGTTTTCTTCTAATTCTTATGTTTTACACGTACACTCATGTTTTGACTCAGAAGTCCCTTGGCAATTTTAATGAGTTCAGTAGGCATACAGACCTACACTGCTACAAGAGTTCCTTGGAGAATCCCTGGGACAGCTGGAGCCTTATTGTGTCAGTTGTAGCTCAACATGAATTCAAATTATACTAACAAAATGTACTCTGGTTTTGTCTATCTTTTCGAAATAAATAAATAAATTGTCAAGACTTTAATCTCACTCCCTTTCAACAAATATTTAATAGCATAAGCAGAAAAATTCAGAGGTAAGTTACAAAATGTGCTCTTTCAGAAGAGTACAGAAAAACAACTCTATCACTGTAACATTTTAAAGTAAGTGAATTAATAATCATATCTTACATCATACTCTGTTATTTCAGGTAAATTGCTTTCCTCAGCCTTCTCTGACTTTTCAGCTGCCCACTTGCTCGCAGCTTCTGCAAGTTCCTTTTCTGATAGTCTGTTGCTCTTCTCCAAGGCCTGTACAAAAACATTAAAGTTAAGATTTAACATGAAATACACTTACACACAGCAAACCATCTTCAAAATTAAAATAAGGAGCTATTCAGATCCCTAAAACATTTTAAAATAGGAAGTAAGAAAGTTGAAATTATTCCATTTGCTGATTTCTTTAAAGAAAAGTAGATGGGGAGAGAGCATATAATAAAGCAATAAAGGGAGAGAAGAAAAAAAAATCAATGAAGCTCACTAGACTGCTAAAAAAACACCACCACACTTTCAGAATCAGTTTTAGTAAATTCAAAGGTCAGAGATAAAAGAAAACTTATTTGAGACCAGTTGGGCACTAAAGGAAGTCAGACACAAGTGTGGGGTGATGTAATAATTCAATGTGATTTTCAGGTATAAAAGGTTGTAACAAATTTAAATTAAACTATTAAATAGTAGGTAGGGTATACAACCTAAGCTAATTAGGGACAAAAAGTATTTTATACATACTTTAAGTGATCAGTGCTGCTTCCATTAAAAGCAATTATTTTTTACTGGGGGTAAAGCTGATCATTTATAATAGAGTCAGTCACGGCTTTATGGCCTTTAATTCTACCTTTTCATATGGAAATTCTTGTATAAATAATATTTAAAAATTAATTCCTCTCTAAGAATACTATTTTACTATCAGAGCAGCAAACAGACAATGACAAATACCAGTTTAGGAATAGCTAGCTTTATAGATCTTGTTACCACTATTGTGGGTACTTAATTTGAATTAACTGTATGTACAGAAGCATCCACCCAAGAATCTATACCACTCTAGTTTTAAAAATTGCAACACTAAGATGGATATCTAAAGAAAAAAAATACTCCTACTGCCTGAAAAGGTTGTAACACTTTCTACTCAATGCCTGTTTCATCTTGGCAAACAGGACGACAAAAACCAACTAAACAAACAAATATCCAAATGAAAAAAACAACACCCCCTCTTATCATTAGTTCATTCTAAGTTACATAAATGGGTTGTGGAAGCAAATACTGTGACCTGTATCAAGATTGTTTTGTCTTCAGATATTTTGTGTTTACCTCAGGTAAACTTATTATCCAAACATGTCTTTGTGCTACACTATGGCATAAGCACACAATTCATAGAACCCTTCCAGAATTCTGTGTCATAAAGACACCACCTTTATCTGCATCCAGAAGAAAAGTGCAACACAAATGTTCCACTAGGAATCCCTGTTTTCTATAACTGCAAATTACAGAATTACAACCAGCAAAGTCAGGAAGTATGAACAGGGCTCTTAAAAGTAAGGAATAATATAATTCATAGAATAGCTAGTCCAGCTCACCTTTCCAAACTATACAATTATTCTTACACTAGTTTAACTAAAAACTATCTGCTGCCAAGTTTTTTTCCCCTAATGTTCCTATTTCCCATAGTATGTTTGACTTTTATCTTTATCCTGACTTTTCCCTAATCCAAAAATCGTGTACTGAGGTTCTATTATGCATCTTTCCCTTTTCTTAAATGTTGTTCTGTCCATTTCTAACAAAAAGACCAGTATCTTCATAACCAACAGTCAGCTTTGCATGAAATGAAGATAAATAAAATCTCACATGACCTAGTGTAATGACTCTAATATCTAGTGGAATACAGAAAAAAACCTGTTTGATTTAATCTCACTAAATTTAATTCTATAGTTGGAATGTCGATACATACGTATTAAACCCTGAGTGAATTTTATGTAATAAAGTAATGATATTTCCCCAGTTGCACTACAACTGAAGGGAAAGAACTGGACATACTTCCCAGTTGAAAATGTTTGCAGCTACGCAGGCTGCAAACATACAAGAAATGAACAACCTCGTACATCTTGTAAAAAACCCAAACTGCTCCCCCTCCCCACATTCCCTGCCTCAAAACAGAAGTCTCATTTTTTTGGGGTGGGTTTGTTGGTTGGTTGTTTTTTTTTTTACCTCATGGATAACCGAGAACCGTAAAAACCTGTCACTTTGCTGGGAAGATTTCCCTGTCTCACATATGTGCCTTTAACTATGCTGGATACAGCCTCCAAAGCTCATGGTCCACACAGTTATTAAAGAAAAACACAAAAGATTTGTGCTGTAGTCAATTAAACAGGTGGCTAAGATCTGATAACATCACCATGTATTAATTCACAAGCATGATTATGCAAAAAATTAATTATAAGATAAATAAGAATACCTTTTCAGATTTGCAAATAGATACTACAGCTAAAAGAGGCATTGGTGGAGAAACGTACAGCTTTCTAAGTATTTCAAAACTAAATTATAACTTAGAGCATTGAAAATCATCTCCTTTAATCTCTGATATAAAGTATGTAAGTAATTTCTCAAGCCTTAGTAGATTGTAAGACTCTGGCTCTAAAGATGTTCACGTTTTTGCCAACACTTCTTCTGTCACTACTTCTGTGTCAGTGGAGCACTTATGTAACTTAACTGGTCAGTGTAATCCAGCCAAGAGGCTGACCCCAACAAACCCCACTGACACAGGCTGATCCCAACAAACCTCACAAGCCCATTTGGAGACTTCAAGACAAAAGAAATAAACAGTCATGGAAGTACTTCCATTTCTGCAGCTAATGCATATCCAATAAATATTTGTGTTGTCTGGGGAAATGACTTTCATAGAAGTTTTATTTTGTGTAGCCTATACCAGATATGCATATACATGCAAACTGCTAGCAAAGAAAACAATACAGCATAGATCCCACCTGACTGAAGATGAAAGCAGAACATTTACAGAATACTTTATACATTACATATTAACACAAGAGCATGAGATTTTGCAATTCCTCCTTGTTCTCAAAGTTTTGTATTGAGCAAGGATTTGATATTAAGCTGCAGTATGCTGAGTCTGTAGGCAAAGCAGGTGAACTAATTATAAAGTTTATTTTATGATCTAAATCAGTGTAACTTATGCATAATAGTTTTTATCTTACTTTCCTTATTTACATCACTGAAAATACATCACTTGCCTCCGCCCTTAAGGACATTGGCAATTAGCTAGCACAGCAGTTCTAAAAGAGCTGCATAAGGGATAAGTACTTAGAATAACACAGCTCAACCAAAGCCTGTTTTTTTCCCCACCTAATTATTTTCTTCACTGTCCCCTTCTCCCAACAAAAAGTACTTTTGTTTTTTTTTGTTTAAGCATTCCACTTGTATTAAAAAGACCTCATTTTTATTAAAAAGACCTCAAGAACTGAGGTAGTACACCACAACATTACTAAGGGCAAGTGCTACTTTTTAGTAGGACCTTATTAATTTCAAACAATATCACGCATTGTTTCTTTACTTCTCATTAAAGTATTCCTCAACAATTTACAGAAAATACTCCTGTGGAAGTGTTAATTTTAACCTCAAATATAATTTGCAGGGAAGCAGTCTGTGCTGTGAAAATGATTTTGCTGCCACAGGAAAGCCAGAACAATATTGAATGCTGATTGTTCATTACTGTTTATTAGCCTGTCCCTTTAACTAATTAGCAAGATTACGTAGTTGGTGCTCAGCCCACAAGATTTGATGGGAAATAAAATGGCATCAGTAAAAACATAAAGGGACATTTACCAAACTATCTTGCAATGCAGTTCCCTTCCCAATAAACGTCATCATTCTTGCCACATCCTCGAGCACCCTGTTTCTCTGCTATTTACATTATCTGCTCAGCCAGTCAGACACTTTACACACTATTTTCAAATCCAGTCACAGCCTAGGAATCCCTAAAGGATGAAGTTTAGTGCAAATACAGGCTTGTCCAACTGATCTGTTGCTCCTAAAAAACACCTGATCATTTTTTTTCTCCTTGACATTCCTTTTCTGGCACAACCTCCACTTTGAAAAATGGCAATTTTAAATACATACAAAACTCCCTTTTTCCTAAAACAAGACAGTGAATACGGAATAAAAAGGTCTGTCGGTGTCATCATTAGATACCAAGCATTATCAGCACCTTCCTACCAGAAAAGGGAAGTCTATCCTCTAGTGGATTGCTGAGCCATTCAAGATGCTCCCTTCCATAACAACTGCACACAACATCTTCTTCTAACTGAGGAAAAAATCCTGCAAAGAGTAATCTAAAAACATGGCGAGAAATACTCAAAAATTCACCTTTGATGAGGGTACTGCTGTGGACCCCGAAGGTGATGCATCTCTTGATGTTCTCAGTGTTCTCTCTTTACCTACAATTAAGGAAAAAGTTAATGACTGTGAAATTAAAGATATATGTTTCGAATATGCTTACTGGTTTACAAAAATTGCAGTGAAATTTGCTCCAGTCAGACATGAACCTTCTCACTCTGTAAAACTACCTGATGACAGGAGGCTGTGGCAAGATAGGAATTGGCCTCTTCCCCAGGCAAGTAAGCAACAGGACAAGAGGAAATGGCCCCAAGCTGCACCAGGAGAGATTCAAGTTGGAGATAAGGAATGAATTTTTTCACTGTAGGGGTGGTCAAGCATTTGAACGGAATGTCCAGGTGGTGGACTCAGTATCCCTGGAAGTGTTCAAGAAACAACTGGACATAGCACTTAGCGCTAAGCTTTAGTTGACAAGGTGATGTTTGGTCAAAGGTTGGACTCGATCTTGTAGGTCTTTTCCAACCTTAGTGATTCAGTGATTCTGTGAAATCTACATGTTCCACCATCTGATAAATATTGATAACACTGTCTTCTCTTCACAAGGAGAAAAGAGATACAGCTGTGTCATTTCACGTTTAGAAAAATCCACTATCTTTTTGTCCATCATTAACTGAAAGGGCATATCAATATGATTCCGCAAGATGATGTAGTTTCACTTTTTAATATTCATGTAATAATATAAAGGGGTGAAATATTAAACACCAGTCAATCATTCCAAGCAACCAGGCAGTGTAGGAACTGGTTTAGCAGGCCACAGTATGCTGAAAAGCCCTGCCATGGGAAACACTCCTGTATTGTATCAGCCACAGGCTAGATGCTCTTTGTATGATCAGTGTTTTTCTTATAAGAGTTACAATTGGCAAAATGTCAAATCAAATTCACTGTGTTAATCGCAGTCTGTGCATGGTCTTGCCACAGACCAGTTTCAGGCAGCCCACAGCAGCAGAAATGGTTGCAGTATAAACAACTAGTTTTCAAGCTGTGGTCCACAGATTACATCTAAGGGATCTGCAAAAGGTAAATACAAAAAGCAAACATGTTTTCAGTAGGCCTAAATTAACTACACTATTCACACTCACTGGGAAACAGTTGACTGTTCGCAAATAAAATATAAACTTACCTTGGTTTCCATTAAATTTTTATCAATACAATATTAATAAAGAGATTAATTAAAATGCCTATCAAATACTTACAAAATTATTTTAGTAGAGCTATAAACATGATTGTTCATTATGGCTTTAAATATGGCTTTAATTTAATGAATCAAAGCAATGAAGAGCAGACATGACATCTCACTCCTATAAGCTGAGCTATTTTCCTTTTTTTTTACTCAATGCCATAAAATAATACTGCATACTTATTTTAAAATACCTACACAAAAATGTAAAGAAAAGTCTATGCAAAATGCATATCTTTAACAATAGAAAATGTTTAAGAGTCTGGTCTTCAGTCTTTGCCCCATTTTCATACCATATGTATATAAAGCAAAGATCAAAACCATGCACACTGTTGGAGGCAAGCAAGTTACTGCTGTAATGTAATGCTGTAAAGGCCTACTAATCCGTGCAAAAGTCTTCACAGTTACTGATGGGTCTTTCAAAAATGCTAATGAAAATATGTGGGAAAGTTACTTTGATAAAAGCAAATGTTCTAAATTGCACTTTAAACCTCAGTTTGAAGAGGATGCTAAATGGAGACCATTACTTTAAAAACATAGCAATCAACCTTATTCAAGTAAATTGACCTTTGACAGAAAAAAGTTTTTTTAAAATAAATAGTAAATAGAAAAACTATAAAATATAAAAAGCTTCTATAAATACAAAGTATATGTCAAAACCCAAACCAAGAAAATAGAAATAGTCATGTCTTTAATCTGTCATACTCTTCAAAGCACAGAACATCTCCCTTGTCACCACCAAGTAACCCTGAAGTTTTGCTCCTGTGATACTTGCTTTTCAGCCCCATGGCTGGGCCACCTCCTTTTAAATTTACAGACTACTCTAACTCTGCCTCCCACATGCCTTCTTTATCAGACTGGATTCTTTAAAGATTATCTCAGTTGAATGGATTATATGTTTGCACCTAAACAGATGAAAATGAGCTCATACAAGGGGCAGTAAATTATTCAAAGTTAAGCAGAGAGAAAAACCACCATTTAATCTGGAGACATTATTAGGTCATTTCTTCTGAATGTGTGTGGCTATTTTGAATGCAAAAGCCCTACCTGTAACATTATACGTGACACTTTCCAAGCCCATATTTGCCTTCTTGCATTTCCTCTGCATAGCACCCTACAGACCCCTTACTTTCAGGCCCAGTGAAGGAATACCAACATGCTTTTCTCCATGCTCTCCCATCACAGAGGAATGCCTGTCCTTTCCATTAGCCCCTTCTCTCCCTTTAACAAGCTTATTCATGTCCCCTCGGTTTTCTTCGTTTAAGTCCTGTATTTATCCTAAAGTACGAAGAGCTGCAGAGCGTGGGGCATTCCTTCTTCAGTGGAAGTCATGAGGCCAAACCAATTCAGACAGCATGATTTTAAACAGTATTATGACATTCTAAAAAGATGCCATATTGCAAGTTCCACATGAAATAGTATATACTTTGCATGTTGTAAATCCATTTAAGTACCAGTTAAAATGTACTGTTGATATATATATGTCCCACTTTATGTTCCTTTTAAATATGTAATACATGTGCTTACCTAAGGCAAATCACATTCAAAAATTATTCTAAAAGTATTATTTAGGCCATTTATACTTTTGTGAATAGGCCATTTTAGTTCAGTCATCCAGAGGAACAATTTACTAGTACCGTTTTCCAGGGACAGGTAGTTATAAAGAAACAGTCCTCTGTACAAGCCATCTGGTCTCTTAAAACTGATTTAAAGGTCATTGGAAGAGATGTTTAACCATGCAATTGGGAAAAAACAGCAAAAACCACAGACCTAGATGTAAGCTCCTCACTTGACCAGCATCTTTTCTGGTTTGTGAAGATGTCTGCTTCTACTTCACTACTCCCACTACTGTCTAAGTAATTCTAAAAATATTCTATATATCTGTACTTACATGATCAAAGTCAGCTCAAAATTTTAGGAATATCCTGAAACATTCCAAAATTTTATATGGTTTTGTCGCAACATTGTTTTCCTAGTAATTATGAGTTGCACACCTACAACACTTCTAAAATGTAGTAAAATATATTTTCCTTCTCCTCTCCTACACTTAAAAGAAATTCATGTTCACTGAGTATTGCGACAAAATGTTAAAAGAATTGCAATGACCAAATAGAAAGATACCTGTATTCTACAAGGAGTGAAATAATTCCTCAATATTTAAACAATCCTAACTAAACTATGAAGATCTTTTCTGGCAAGAAATGCTACATAATGGTTCACTGTGTCACTCTGGAAACACAACATGTCTATCAGTGCATAAAAAGAATCTAATTATATTATAAAAGCTGCCAAAATGAACAGTAGGTTTGCATCGTTCACTAGAAAGCACTTGCAGAAAGGGAAATCAAATCGGATTAATTTACATAATCAGTACAAACAGCAGTGACTAAGACCGTAGTATACTAAAAAAAGCAATTTTATCTTTTTTTTTTCCCCAAATCATTTAAATAGGAAAACCTTGAATATTTTCAGAACAGATGATTCATTAGACTTCTGGAAAACATTAACAGCCAAGTTTTTAAAAGGCAGAACACACACAGTATAGACTAAACTGAGATATGTTTCACATTTCTTTGAGGAAAGCAAGATTTGAGAGAATCTCACAATAAGATAAAATTGTTAAAAAACAATCAGCTTCAAAAGCCTAATAATAGAATTCTAAGAACATCTGGAGAAAATGCAACAAGTATGTAATTTATTTTCTCCAATTTTTTAATCCCTCTTTGTCCCTGGCTGCAGGAAGAAATGTCTGATCTGCTATAGATGACACCAAAGTTTCTTGTAAGGGAATCCAATGAAGCACACAAAGAAGTAACAGAAGGAGTTGATGGCAAAAGGAACATAAAATACTAGAAAAAGCTGTGCAGCTGAAACTCCTACAGTCAGTCTAGAGCTGCTACCAAAATAACATCTACAATCTCCCACATGAAATACATAAGGGAGCAGAAAGTACAATGAAACAACCAGAGCAGACAACGCAGAGATGGTACAAAATGTCTAGCTTTCTCCTTGTAAAAGAGAGCATGTAAAGGATTATACAGTGAATTGCTGTTTCACCTCACTAACCAGTTCTCATCAATAATCCAGTATTACCTGGCTGAGAAGAAATATTTCTTTTATGTAAAGATGACATACTTCTGCTATGCTGGTGGAAAGGATAAGCTTTGCTTCTGTCAGGAGAGTAGCTCCTGCTGCTGACACTAGAGCCAGATCTGCTGTGCGGAGAATCCCTTCGGCTCCCTGGTGATTCCCTGAAGAAAGGAGAGTCCCTCTTATGAGGGGATCGCTCTCTCACATAATGAGAAGGGTAGAAGCTTTTTCTCCTGAAGCCATCTCTGACGTCCCTTGGAAGACAATACAAAAATAAAAGTTACTTGGTTATCCTTCCAATGTTTCTGGAACAGCACTAGACAATACAAGGGTAACATTTTATGCCTGGTAAATACAAATAGGTTAGCTGTCCAAAATCTTAAGCACTGTTAAGAGTACTAGGCAATAACTGAAAAACAAGTGGAAAAATAAAAGGTTGTAATTTTTTCAGATTTCATTGAACTACTTCATTGCTAGAAGCTAATTCCTTTCTATTTCTTGATAATACAGCTAAAATATAAGAAATTCAAGAAATGGGAGGTCTTGCAATTTTTTTTTTCAGATTCAGTCTACTTCCCCATGAAATTAAGCCTTCATTTACACTTGCTAAAAACGCATATGCAAATATTGCTCACACTATTTGGTATTTTTCAGCTCTGTTTTTCTCTTATTTTCAAGGGACTATATCCCTCATTTGATTTCACAAGTATTGCTATGGGAAATATCACTGAGGGATTTCAGCTTATACTGAGCAAAGACAAAAAGAAATCTGCAAAATATCTATTCTCATGCCCATGTATCCACCCGAGATCAAATCTTAAATGAAAATATGAAGACTTACACATCCTAAAAATGTTTTTTTTTTTACAGAACACAGTATTAATTTTGAACTTTACTGTAAAATGTCCCAGACTCAACTGATTTTAAACCATAATCTAGTAACCACCACATCTTTCTATTAAATTTAGATACTGTTACTCCAGACCATACCGCAAAAATGTGTTGGTTACTTGTAAATTATATTAATATATATCTACATGTGCAGGTAAAAAAAAACAAACAAAAAACCAAACAATAAACCCAGTATCCTTTTGAACTTGCCCTAAAGAATCTCAGAGCTAACAAACACACAAGCCAACTAATACAAAACTTGTCACATTTGCCTTGGTCAGAAGATTCATTGCTGAGAGAAGGAAGTACTTCTCAGCTTCTTCACAGCACTGCTAGAAGTGAAAATAAAGACTTCATAGCATTTCTAGTAAATCAGAATGTATCATATTTCACTGTTCTTCTCTCCTATTTCCCATCATAGTCCAATATTTTAAACAAGGGAACGTCTTACAAAGATGACCAACAATCTGGTGGTGTCATTTAGCACAATGTAGCTAGAGCTAATTTTATGTTGGTGGAGAACAGGAAAAAAGCCCACTAGTGTACAATTCCTACACCATGTTACAGGTCTACATCTGTGACAGATAACAAAGGATTTCAGCATGCCAAATGTGTTTTGGACTACTGAAACTACATAGGTAGCAACTCAAAACAGATTCTATGACACTGGTGTGTTTTATACAGTGTTGATTTACCTTTTGCTTTGAAACGAACATTTGCACAAATGGTTCTGCTTCAGAACAAGCAACATTAGGGTGTTCTACAGCAGAAAAGTCATTGGAATGGGGCAGAGCCAAAGACACCAACAATTCTTCAGCTTATTTCTCCAATTCCAGATGGAATAAAGTATCAGGAAAATAAAGTCTCTACTTCGAAAATTTTCTTATGAAGCTAAAGTATGAATCAATAGCCTCAGATTCTGGTTTTTAGTAAAAAGCCAGTGAAGCAGAGCCAGGTTTTCCAGTTAAGTAATTACCTCACTGTCAACAGACCACAGGTTTTTTATAGGTATTGCATAATACAGAAAAGCATATTTCACAGGTCTGCATAACAAAACTGATACAAGAAAATGTTACATGGATTTATATCTAACAGGTGTTTTAAAACAAAATCAATATTCATTTCCTTTCTAAATATCTTTTTCTTCTATTTGCTGCGACACTTTCTTCTTCCTAAGCAAGCCAGCAAAACAAAACAACTATGGAATTGCTAAGTAGTACTCATTAAATATCCTCTAATCAGTAGCCATTGTAAAGATATTTTCATCAAAGAATGAATCACCCCAGAACATACAGAAGGACAATCCTCCTGCTTTCTTTAAAGACCTAAGAGCAATGTGCCCACCTTTGGACACCACTCTTTAAAAAAATACAGATAACCAGGAGACTTCCTTCTGAACCTCTCTTTAAAAAATGTTACTTATTTTTAGAGTACAAGCTTTCTGGCAGACCACTACACCACCTTTATGTGCAAAACACATTTTTATGATCATGCATTAAGCCCTCATATACAGAGAAGTTTATTACAGAAATGTTTACAGAGCCTCAGCTATCACACACATAAAAGGAATACACCAATATCCACATAAGAATTAAAAAAATATCACTGAAACATACTTTTAAATAGGAAAACATCTGAAAGCCTCCTTCTACAGTAGTATTATGCACCATAAAATAGAATCTCACTTTCAATTTTTTCAATTTCCATTTCATCACTCCATGTTAATTCTTAACTGGACCATATCTCACACATAACATTCAAACCATTAACTATATTAAATCTGTTTTGGACAACATAGAAACAGCGCAGCATTTCTGATGTTTTCCATTAATGTAACAAACTACACTGAATAGAACAAAGTAAGTATTGTTTTGCTTTTATTTTTTTCCTTAAATACTTAAGCTAACATACACCTGCAATTCGGTAATGAAGGCCCCAATTCAGCAAAGTAGTTAAGCACATGCTTTAGATTCCAACACATACTCAGAAGGTTTATTGAGCAGGGGCAATATTTAAGAGAGATGCAAGATTTTGTGCTCAGCTGTAACTTTAAAATAGAGCTACTGCCCTTAATAACAAATACAGGATTAATGCCTTTTATATAGCATCCCTCAAATCTTTTTATTTTGTATTATTTCAAACTTAGTCCTGAAAGCACAATTCTGTTCCCTCAGCGGTGTTGTGACAGGAAGTAGTATCATTGTTAACCTCGATGACACCTGACCATTAAATTCTCACTAAAGTTGACAGTCCTGTATGAGCTCCTAAAATTTTACAAGTAAACAGCCATACTCTGATACACCATTCACCAATGGCTGAGGGAGGAGCCCGAGAGCTATTCCAGTTAACCGTCAGTTCCAGTTTCCCCAAGGATAAAACACAATTACAGAATAGACGAAGCAGAAGACCAAGAGATTACAATACGGGAGATTTTCAGATGCCAAAGGATCAGAAACACCACCTTCTCTAAGCTATCACTACCACAGAGAGTACTTCTGGTCTCATTCCTCCCTGCAAACCGTTCAGCAGCAGTGTTGTGGAAAACTAAGGGCTACAGGAAGTCACGTGGTTTACAACAGGGAGTGGTTCAGCTTAAGCTACTTGAAACAAAGACAAACTGGTGTGTCAGTTTTGTATTTTAAGAGTACATAAAGGTAAAATTAAATCACTTGCTCAAGGTGAAATGGTCAGGAATGGAGGTGTACTTGGGTACACGACAGCTCATCATTTGCAATACAGGAAAAAGCTTTGTTGTAAGAAGAATCTTAGCGCACGCTCACTGAATTCATGCTACTGGGCAAATGTGTACAATACATTGTCTCTGGGACTTCTGTGTCCCAATACAGACATTCACAGGACACTGTAATGGCTAACAGAACTCATGAGAACATGATTCAGAAGATGTAGGAAACATTAAATAAAAAATACTACACCCCCAACTGCTAAAAGAAGAGTCAAGAACACCTCCACTTTCAACATCTTCAACGTAAATGTAGGTGGTAGAAGATTACAGTCACCATCCTCTCTCCCAGAAGTCATTCTATTTCTTTCCCAAGTACGTGGTTGTGCAACAAACCAACAACCTACTCGGGTTCTGCTTTGGAGACTTATTATAATCTCATGTTGTTATCCAAAGATCCTTGTGCAGATTTATCATAAGCTAAAATAATACAGTGAATTACACCATCATAGATATAAGTAATTGCACCTGTTTCCAGTGGTTTTCATTTGAACATATGAAATGATGACAAGATTTCTTATGACAACTGGTTTTCAACGTTTTATGACTAAGTAAGTAACCGCAGCACTTGTAAGTGATATTTGCATTTTCTTTAAATGAAATTAAGGTAATTAGGACTAGTCAATGGAATCTTATTAACAGCTTTTTGCATGAAGGCAAAAGGAAATAGGCATTGTGAAACACTGCTAAGTCTCATGCAGGGAAGGGTAACTAGACATATAAAATGTGTCCAAAAAAATCAAAAATATATAAATGTTTCACAATTTTTTTGATGCATGCAATAGTACTGAAGTTATCATATAATAAATAATGGTCAGTCTTTGCGAGCGAAGATCCGGGGAAGGTCTTTACACCTTCCAGCCTGTGCATTGGATTTTTTAGGTGAGACACAGTGTGCGCAGAACTGAGCCAACCCTTTAATCCTAAGGTTCATCTGCCGGGGCCAAGCGAGCAGACTGGGACAGACCTTTCTAAGTAGATCTTTGTACATTTACTGTCATCCTGCCTCAAGCACATGGAAAAGAACTTTACAATATTTCCCTGAGGTACCCAAGACATTGGTACCACTCAAAAGCATGTTTTCTTTGGGGTTTTAGAGTTTGTTTTTTTACTTCACACTCAGTATCAGTACTTGCAAGTGATTCAGTGTAGGCAAACATTTGTCTTATCCACACACGAAGCACCAGAAACAAAGAGATATTTTTGCACTTTATTTTAGGGACATAAGTGCAGGTTATGTTCAGTAGGCTATTACCCTCTGCCCCAAAAGCTATCCTTAAAATCCTTAAGAAGAATCCAGAAACCTTGAAATATCTGCTGGAGGAGCTCTTAAGCTTTTCATCGGTGTGCCGCAGAATGCCATTAGTTTATTGACAATTAAAAGAAAGCACAAGTAGTGCACTGTAGTAGTATATACTGATTTGATCAACCCTTGGGGTTGACTTTCTAAGACTATCAATAAAAAGCTGCAAAAGGAAAGAACAAGTTGTGGAACAGGTTTGAAAGCAAGTAATACCTTTTGTCAGTAATACTGACACACAATACCCTTATTATATTTACATCTCTTCTATTTTTAAATCCCTTAATGAGATCTATAAATCAGAAAAACACTCCATTTTTCTC